AAAAAGTTTTTTCCAGGTCTATAGAACAAAAGTTAGAGATAAGATAGGTCCCCTTAAAAATAGCTATGGGCACCTTACTGACAAAGAGAATGAAATGTGCTCGATTTTTAATAATTATTTTCTCTCAGTTTTTACACAGGAAGACACTAGCAATATTCCAGTAATTAATTTTTATAGTGGGCTAGAAGAAGATAAATTATGTAACATCACAGTCACTAGTGAAATGGTTGTGAAGCAGATAGACAGACTGAAGCAAAATAAGTCGCCGGGTCCTGATGAGGTTTTTTCAAGGGTTCTTAAGGAATGCAAATGGAACTCTGTGAACCATTAACTAATATTTTTAATTTATCTCTTCAAACAGGTGTAGTGTCTGATATGTGGAAGATGGCTAATGTAATTCCTATTTTTAAAACAGGGACAAGTCGTTACCGTCAAATTACCGCCCAATAAGCCTGACCTCAATTGTAGGCAAATTACTCGAGTCAATTATAGCTGAGATTATAAGAAGCCATCTCGATAAGCATAGCTGATTAATGATACTCAGCATGGATTCACAAGAGGCCGTCTTGTCTAACTAATTTATTAACTTTCTTCAGTAAAGCTTTTGAGGCTGTTGACCACGATAAAGAATTTGATATTATTTACTTAGATTTTAGTAAGGCTTTTGATAGAGTTCTGCACCATAGACTGTTAAAGAAGTGGCAGCTCATGGCATTGGGGAAAAGTGCTCTCGTGGATCGAGTCATGGCTCACTGACAGGAAGCAGAGAGTGTCCATACATGGGGTTAAATCCGAGTGGGGATCTGTAACAAGTGGCGTTCCACAGGGATCAGTCTTGGGCCCGTTGTTGTTTATAATATATATCAATGATCTTGATGAGGGAATTACTAGTGATACGAGCAAATTCGCCGATGACACAAAGATAGGTAGGATAATTGATTCAAACGTAGATGTTATGGAACTTCAGGAGGATTTAAACAAACTCTATTCTTGGTCAGAAAAGTGGCAGATGCAGTTCAATGTAGATATTATTATTATAATCAAAAAGAAGCGCTAAGCCATCAATGTAGATAAATGCAAGGTTCTGAAGCTTGGGAGTGCCCATAACCCTAGTACTTATAAGTTAAATGAAGTAGAACTTAGCTATACAGATTGTGAAAAGGACTTGGGGGTTATGGTGAGCAGCAACCTTAAACCAAGACAGCAATGCCTAAGCGTATGTAATAAGGCAAATAGATTACTGGGATTTATATCAAGAAGTGTAAGCAACAGAAGTCCAGAGGTCATACTGCAGCTTTATACATCATTAGTAAGGCCTCACCTAGATTATGCAGCTCAGTTCTGGTCTCCATATTACAGAATGGACATAAATTCGTTAGAAAACATTCAGCGTAGGATGACTAAATTAATACATAGCATTAGAAATCTTCCTTATGAAGAAAGATTGAAGACTCTTAAGTTACATTCACTTGTTAGATGAAGAATGAGGGGAGACCTGATCGAAGTGTATAAGTGGAAGATAGGTATTAATAAAGGGGATATTAAAAAGGTCTTGAGGATGTCTCTCCAAGAGAGAACCCGCAGTAATGGATTTAAATTAGATAAGTTTAGATTTAGAAAGGACATAGGAAAGTATTGGTTTGGAAATAGGGTAGTTGATGAGTGGAACAGTCTACCTAGTTGGGTTACTGAGGCTGGGACTTTGGGTAGTTTCAAATTTAGGTTGGATAAGTACATGAGTGGGAGGGGTTGGATTTGAGTGGGACTTTCACATCAGAGCTTATTTCTTGGGTGGCATTGAAAATTGGGTTGGGCAAATGTTTTGTTAGTGGGATGAATTGTAAAGGACCTGCCTAGTATGGGCCAACAGGCCTCCTGCAGTGTTCCTCCTTTCTTATGTTCTTATGTTCTTATACCTACACACACACAAGGCCGAAATTTGGAGTTTTTATGCCCTGGTAACCAGGCTTAAGGCCAGGCTTCCTTGATTGCCTATTCAACGGTGCTTTAAGTGACACAACTGGTGTTAATTGCTGGCTGGACAAGAACTGTGAAGACCATTTACTGATAACTAAGACCGCTTCTGGGGCATGAATGACATGTATGCCTGGGATGGGGGTGCACTTATCTCGGGCAGGGGTAGCAGCATTATCTAGTCCAACCGAGGGGATGGCTTGTAACTTCAGTGTATCAAGATTTAAACTGAAAAATGTTAGAGGTAAATATGTGTGTGTGGAAAAATGAAGGGATTGTGGTATAACGAGGCAGTAAAAAGTGTGATACTATGGATTTTATAAATCACAATTATCCCTGGAGGAAAGTCAATTGTCAGTTATTAATATTAAGGATGGTTATGGAAAAGAGGCCCATAGAAACACTGGGTAATGAAGAACAATAGAAATAGTGGAAAGGCAAATTTATTTGTATTTTAATCAAATAAAGCACTAAACCCGTATGGATATAGCACCTGGGGAATGCAAGGCATTCAAGTTTGATATAACTCCAATTCCTTGGATCAAGAGCCTCTCACCGACATCAAAGCACCTTCCTTGAGAGGATTAGGAAGGCAAAAATAAACAGAGAAAAGATACAGAAAAAAAAACTTTCTTCAGAAGTATTATACATTATTATTATAATCAAAAAGAAGCGCTAAGCCACAAGGGCTATACAGAGAAGTATTATACAAATAGTTGGATTACTAGATGAAAGATAAACGAGTTGAGGTTGGTTGCATGTGCATGAAACGTCATTGTCGTTGCAATAACTAAGACGTAGTTTAATATGAAAAGTCGGGACGTGGCTGCCGAGCGCCACATAGGAGTTTAAGTTAGTCCATGTTAGTAGAAATACCGGAAAGTGGGTGTGAAGAAGCAAGGTATGTCCGAGAGAACTTGAAATGCTGCGTGGAAACATAAAAACTGAAGGAAAAAAACAGAATTTGTCTGGGTATAATTTCTAAGACATGTAAAGTACTTGATCCTCAGAATCCAGCCAAGGTAGACTAATTTGGAATGAAACCGTTAAGGCTTCAAGGTGTGAAAATTTAGTAATCTCGAAAGATTTCAATTTTAGCAAAGCTGATTGGAAGTTTTTGGCTGGAAATCTGAAGATTAACGACTTCCTGGAGGCTGTCCAAGATTGCTTTTTAAAGCAATTTGTGACAGAACCAGCTACAGGTAATAAGCTGTTCGACCTAGTTCTAGCGAACAAGGAGACCCTCGTAAATAATCTAAAGGTCACCGAAGAGTTGATACAAGTGACTATAACTCTATAACTTTTAAAATTACACAGAAGTACGATAATAAGATTAATGCAGTATAGGTTAGGGAACACTTAGCTAGTGTATCATGTTCAAAACGTCTTTCATCATGCTCCTAGCGTCCTCCATCATCTTCAAATCGTCTTCCATCATATTTAAATCGTCGTCCATCATGTTCAAAGCGATATGTGTGTAGATCATAGAATGATCTACACACACATCGCATCATTGCACTAGTAGCTAGAACCCAGCGCTCCACAGTTATTTAACGTCTCAAACTCTTGGCTTATCAGTCTTCTCTGTAAGGCGACTTATGCTGCACACCGCAAACAAGAAAATAACGTCTGGCAGAGGAAAGATTATGCGTTATGCATGGTGAGGATGGACTGTAATATATCACTGAGGTCACCCAAGTGTTAGTTTGTTAACTGGGTTTAAAGTCCATCGACAATACAAAGGGTCATAAGGCTGCATAACACCTGTGAAGCACTAGTCAGGAACAATTTAATTTAAGCTTGACAATGTTGACATACCAACGTACTTTCATTCTTATACTAGTAGAGGATCTAAACATATTAAAAAATTCCCTTCCCACACACACACACACACACACACAAGCTTTCCTGTTAACCCTGTAACATATTCCATGTAAAGATAAGGGTGTCTGAGCTAGTTTCTATTTCTTGTTTACAACTTCCTGAGGAACTTCAGCGAGCGCTGCGTTATTCAAGGCGTCTGGCTCGATTCATGTTCACTTGTAGCTCTTCTCTTGTCAAGATACAGCTTAAGTCTTGTAGTTACTTGTGAAGATTTATCTGTTTACCTTTTTTCGGGAGGATGAGCCGAAAAAGAAACACTTTCATCACTCACTCATCACTGTCTTGCCAGAGGCGCACCGATGCTACAGTTCAAATGCCCCTCCACCAAACTGCAATATTCTCACCACTCCTTCAGAATGCAGGCACTGTACTTTCCACCTCCAGGGCTCAAGTCCGGCTAACCGAAATAATTACTAAATTTAAAAGTAATAATAATAATAATAATAATAATAATAATAATAATAATAATAATAATAATAATAATAATAATAATAATAGTTGTACTTGCTGCCTCTAAAGTGTAAACAATCACTTTCGAACATGGATAAATCAGGATAGACTTCGCTGACCATTTCCATCTTCCTCGTAAAACGTACTGGCAGAGGCTGGTGCCTGTGATATACCCATGACCAGTATCAAGAGTTAGCCTTTCTCTCAGCTAGGATCACCTGGTCACCAGTGAAGGTTTGCGTTGACGACCAGAAGGCAAGCCATAGCAACTCAGTTGATCTAGCGACAATTAAAGAAAAGGGCCAGAGGGAAAGAAGGGGGAAGAGAGAGAGAGAGAGAAGAGAGAGAGAGAAGAGAGAGAGGAGAGAGAGAGAAGAGGAGAGAGAGTAGGAGAGAGAGAGAGGGAAAGAGAAGAGAGAAGAGAGGAGAGAAGAGAGAGAGAGAGGGAAAGAGAGAGAGAGAGGGAAAGAAGAGAGAGGGGAAGAGAGGGAAAGAGAGAGAGAGAGAAAGAGAGAGAGAGGAGAGAAGAGAGAGATGAGAGAGAGAGAGAGAGAGAGAGAGAGAGAGAGAGAGAGAGAGAGAGAGAGATAGAGAGAGAGAGAGAGAGAGAGAGAGAGAGAGAGAGAGGGAGAGAGAGAGAGTGGGTTTGGGGGTAGTAGGCGTGGGTGTGAGAGCACCATAAGAAGCAGCAGCCGGGTAGGGGACACGCCATTCACGCCGGCAGCCTCAACGCATCGGCAAGCTTGCCTTGCCCACCTGCACGCACGCCCCATTTCCCTGACTCCACGCCCGCGGCCGCGCCCGCGCCCGCGCCCAGGCCCGCACCACGCGTCCAACACGAGGATTTATAGTGTTACAGTCAGTATACAACTTGTGTGTACTGTTACTTCAGACACACACACACACACACACACACACACACACACACACACACACATACTGTAGTGTTACAGCCTTGCGCTCACCCACGACAACACATCAGTGATAACTCTACCAAAGTATACATTTTACCATGGTATTAACTACCACGGTATACACTCTTCTATGGTATACACTAACTTCATATACACTCTTACCATAATATACACAACCATGGTATACACTACCATAGAATATTCTAACAAAGTATACACTATGCAATATTCTATCATGGCGTACACTAATGGTATACATTACCTAAGGATATACACTACCACAGTAGACACAAAAATGGTATAAACTCCATGATGGTATACACACTACCATGGTACACTACCATGGTACACACTACCATGGCACACACTACCATGGTACATACTACCATAGTACACACTACCATGGCATACACTACCATGGTATACATTACCATGGTACACACTACCATGGTGCACACTACCATGGTATAAACTCCATGATGGTATACACACTGCCAATGTATACACTACCATGGTACACACTACAATGGTACACACTACCATGGTATACACTACCGTAGTGTTATACCATTTTAATGTATACCATGGTATACACTACCATGGTACACACTACCACAGTATACACTAAAATGGTATAAACTCCATGATGGTATACACACTACCATGATATACACTACCATGGTACACACTGCCATGGTACACACCATGGTATACACTACCATGGTACACACTACCATGGTATACTTTAACAGGCAAACCAAAACACTACCCAAGACTGTCACAGCTACCACCATCACAACAGCCGCCGCCTACCACCACAACACAACCCCCACCTAACACCGTCACAACACAATCCCCACCACCGTCATAACACAACCCTCACCACCGTCACAACACAACCACAACCACCACCGTCACATCACAATCCCCACCACCCGCCAAACCACCACCGACGCAACACAACCCCCACCACCGTCACAACAAAACCACCACCACCATCACAACACTACCATCACTATCACGAAACCACCACCACCGTCACAACACAACCACCACCATTATCACAATACAACCACCACCACTATCACAATACAACCCCCAGCACCGTCACAACACAACCACTACCACCATGACAACACAACCCCCACCACCGTCACACCATAACCCCCAGCACCGTCACACAACCACCATCACCGTTACAACACAATCTCCACCACCGTCACAACTACCACCACCATCACAATACAACCCCCACCATCACAACACAACCACCACCACCGTCACAACACAACCCCCGCCAACGTCACAACACAGCCACTACCGCCGTCACAACACAACCACTACCACCGTCACAACACAACCACTACCACCCTCACAACACAACCACCGTCAACACAACCACCATCACAACACAACTACCACCATCACAACACAACCACTATCACCGTCACAACACAATCACTACCACCCTCACAACGCAACCACCACCGTCACACCACACCCTCCACCGTCACAACACAACCACTACCACCGTCAAAACACAACCACCACACCACCGTCACACCACAACCAGCATCACAACACCAACTACCACCATCAAACCACTACCACCGTCACAACACCACCGTCACAACACAACCACCCCCACCGTCACAACACAGCCACCACCACCGTCACAACACAACCACCCCCACCGTCACAACACAACCACCACCACCGTCACAGCACAATCACCACCACAACACAACCACCACCACCGTCACAAGACAACCACCACCACCGTCACAACGCAACCACTACCACCGTCACAACACAACCGCTACCACCGTCACAACACAACCACCACCACCGTCACAACACAACCACAACCAAAACACAACCACCTCAATCGTCACAACACAACCACCACCACCGTCACAACACAACCACCACCACCGTCACACCACAACCACCATCACAATACAACTACCACCACCAACACAACACAACCACCACCACCGTCACAACACAACCACCACCACCGTCACACCACAACCACTATCACAATACAACTACCACCACCAACACAACACAACCACCACCGCTGTTAACACGAAACCACTACCGCCGCTACGCTAATTACAAAAACCATCACAATCACTACTACCACTATCATAACACCACCATCGTAACTACCACCACTATTACCACCGCTAACACAATCACAAAAACTACCATCACAATATCACTACTACCACCACCACTGCTACCACGACTATAACACAACCAACTCAGCCACCACCATTACTATCGTTACCATCATCACAGTCTTGTATCTGTACCACACCGCCACCAGTCTCGTGTCTGTACCACACCACCACCAGTCTTGTGTCTGAACCACACCACCAACAGACTTGTGTCTGTACCACACCAGTGTTGTGTCTGTACCACACCACCACCAGCCTTATCCCGTCTGTACTACTGCCACCACCACTTCCAGTCTTATTCTGTCTGTACCACCACGACCACCAGCGTTGTCTGTACCACCACCACCAGCGTTGTCTGTACCACCACCACCACCACCACCACCAGCGTTGTCTGTACCACCGCCACCACCACCAGCGTTACTGTCTATACCACCACTACCACCAGACTTACTGTTTCACCACTACCACTAGTCTTACCCTGTCTGTACCACCATCAGTCTTATTCTGTCTGTACCACCACCAATAGTGATGTCTGAACAGCAACCACCACCAGTGTTGCTCTGTATGTACCACCACCAGCAGTGTTGTTCTGTCTGTACCACCACCAGCGTTGTCCTGTATGTACCACCAACAGTGTTGCTGTCTGTACCACCACCTCACCAGTGATGTTCTGTCTGTACCACAACCAGTGTTGTTCTATCTGTACCACAACCAGTGTTGTTCTCTCTGTACCACCACCACAAGCGTTATTCTATACCACCAACCCCCAGTGTTGTTCTGTACCACCACCGGTGCTGTTCTGTCTGTACCACCACCAGTGTTGTCCTGTCTGTACCACCAGTGTTCTGTCTGTACCACCACCAATGTTATTCTGTATCACCACCAGTGTCGTTCTGTCTGTACCACCACCACCAGTGTTGTTCTGTCTACCACCACCACCAGTGTTGTACTGTCTGTACCACCACCACCAGTTTTGTTCTGTATGTACCACCACCACCAGTGTTGTTCTGTATGTACCACCACCAGTGTTGTTCTGTCTGTATCACCACCATCAGTGATGTCTGCACCGCAACCACCACCAGTGTTGCTCTCTATGTACCACCACCAACAGTGTTGTTCTGTCTGTACCACCACCAATGTTGTTCTGTACCACCACCATTGTTGTTCTGTATGCACCACCACCACCACCACCAGTGTTGTTCTGTATGTACCACCACCACCATTGTTGTTGTCTGTATCACCACCATCAGTGATGTCTGCACCGCAACCACCACCAGTGTTGCTCTCTTTGTACCACCACCAACAGTGTTGTTCTGTCTGTACCACAAATAGTGTTGTTCTGTCTGTACCACAAATAGTGTTGTTCTGTCTGTACCACCACCAGTGTTGCTCTCTCTATGTACCGCCACCAACAGTGTTCTTCTGTCTGTACCACCACCAGTATTGTTCTGTATGTACCATAACCACCAGTGTTGTTCTGTATGTACCACCACCACCACCACCACCAGTGTTGTTCTGTATGTACCACCATCACCACCACCAGTGTTGTTCTGTATGTACGACCACCAGTGTTGTTCTGTATATACCACCACCAGTGTTGTTCTGTATGTACCACCTTGGATGCACTGGAAGAAAATCAGAATGCAGATGTAATATACACAGACTTTGCAAAAGCATTTGACAAATGCGATCATGGCGTAATAGCCCATAAAATACGTGCTAAAGGAATAACTGGGAAAGTGGGGAGATGGATCTTCAACTTCCTAACAAATCGAACACAAAGAGTAGTGGTCAACAGAGTTAAATCGGAGGCTGCCATAGTGAAGAGCTCTGTTCCACAAGGCACAGTACTCGCCCCCATCTTATTCCTTATCCTCATATCAGACATAAACAGAGATATACACCACAGCACCGTATCATCCTTTGCGGATGATACTAGGATCTGCATGAGGCTGTCATCTGCTGAGGACGCGGTTAACCTCCAAGAAGATATAAACAAAGTTTTCCAGTGGGCAACGGTAAACAATATGATGTTCAATGAGGACAAATTCCAACTACTCCGTTATGGAAAACTGGAGGAGATAATAACTAGAACAGAGTATACTACTGACTCCGGCCATACAATAGAGCGGAAAAATAATGTAAGGGACCTGGGAGTAGTAATGTCTGAGGATCTCACTTTCAAGGATCACAACAGTGCCACGATCGCACGTGCAAAGAAAATGATAGGATGGATAATGAGAACTTTCAAAACGAGAGATGCCAAGCCCATGATGATCCTTTTCAAATCACTTGTTCTCTCTAGGCTGGAATACTGCTGTACATTAACATCTCCATACAAAGCAGGTGAAATCGCAGATCTAGAGAGTGTACAGAGATCCTTTACTGCACGTATAAGTTCTGTCAAGCACCTTAACTACTGGGAACGCTTGGAAGCACTTGACTTGTACTCGTTGGAATGCAGGAGGGAGAGATATATCATAATCTACACTTGGAAAATCTTGGAAGGAATGGTCCCAAATCTACACACAGAAATCACTCCCTACGAAAGTAAAAGACTGGGCAGGCGATGCAAAATGCCGCCAATAAAAAGTAGGGGCGCCATTGGTACACTAAGAGAAAACACCATAAGTGTCCGGGGCCCAAAACTGTTCAACAGCCTCCCATCAAGCATTAGGGGAATTGCCAATAAACCCCTGGCTGCCTTCAAGAGAGAGCTGGACAGATACCTAAAGTCGGTGCCGGATCAGCCGGGCTGTGGCTCGTACGTCGGACTGCGTGCGGCCAGCAGTAACAGCCTAGTTGATCAGGCCCTGATCCATCGGGAGGCCTGGTCGTGGACCGGGCCGCGGGGGCGTTGATCCCCGGAATAACCTCCAGGTAACCTCCAGGTAACCACCAGTGTTGATCTGTATGCACCACCACCGGTGTAGTTCTGTATGTACCACCACCAGTGTTGTTCTGTCTGTACCACCACCAGTGTTGTTCTGTCTGTGCCACCACCAGTGTTGTTCTGTCTGTGCCACCACCAGTGTTGTTCTGTCTGTACCACAACCAATGTTGTTCTGTATCACCACCACCAGTGTTGCTCTGTCTGTATCACCACCAGTTTGTCCTGTATGTACCACCACCATCATCAGTGTCGTTTTGTCTGTAACACCACCACCATTGTTGTTCTGTCTGTACCACCACCACTACCACCAGTGTTGTACTGTCTGTACCACCACCACCAGTTTTGTTCTGTCTGTAAAACCACCAGTGTTGTTCTGTATGTACTACTGCCACCAGCGTTATTGTCTGTACCGCCACCATTGTTGTTCTGTCTGTACCACTACCACCAGTGTTGTTCTCTATATACCGCCACCACCACCACCACCACCACCAGCGTTATTGTCACTACCCTGTCTGTACCACCATCAGTCTCACCCTGTCTGTACCACAACCAGTCTTATTCTGTCTGTACCACCACCACCACTAGTGTTGTTCTGTCTGTATCACCACCATCAGTGATGTCTGCACTGCAAGCACCACCAGTGTTGCTCTCTATGTACCACCACCAACAGTGTTGTTCTGTCTGTGCCACCAACAGTGTTGCTCTGTCTGTACCACCACCACCAGTGTTGTTCTGTATGTACCACCACCACCAGTGTTATTCTGTATGTACCACCACCAGTGTTGATCTGTATGCACCACAACCAGTGTTGTTCTGTATGTACCACCACCAGTGTTGTTCTGTCTGTACCACCACCAGTGTTGTTCTGTCTGTACCACCACCGGTTTTGTTCTGTATGTACCACCACCACCACAAGCATTACTGTCTGTACCAACACTACCACTAGTCTCACCCTATCTGTACCACCACTACCACCAGACTTACTGTTCCACCACTACAACTAGTCTTACCCTGTCTGTACCACCACCACTACCACCAGTCTTACCCTGTCTGTACCACCACCAGTCTTTTCTGTCTGTACCACCGCCAGTGATGGTCTGTCATACTATCAGACGTAAGGCATTTATTTTTATGCACTAAAGCATTCCTGAATATCCACAAAAAAATAATTTCAAGAAATATTACATTACTCTGTGAAACAATTATTATTATTATTATTCCATTACCCAGGCAAAGCCTTTAGTATGGGAGGTAATTATGTTCGATCTAAGGAGGGGAAAACAGGACTTTAGTAATCATAGCTATTATCTAGGAGCATGTATTACATTATAGAGAACGCAAGCATATATATCATTTAGCCTGTAATTCCTCATTGATTATATGACGTGTTATATGAGGTACGGGTACAGCTTTTATGTCAAGTGTGAAGTGTTTGTTCCCAACCACGAGCGACGTATCCTCTGACCTCTACGATATACCCTCACCCCTGCTGCTATTTCTACTACAGTCTTATTATTGCCACTACTACTACTACTGCTTCTACTACCATTACTAGTACTATTGCCACCACTATTTTTTCTACTACTACTATTCTTTCTATTACTACTGCTGCTGCTGCTTCTACTACCACTACTACTACTGCCACCATTCATCTTTCTGCTCTTGCTGCTGCTGCTGCTACTACTATTACTACTACTACTACTACTACTACTACTACTACTAATAATAATAATAATAATAATAAAACAATAATGGCAGATCTTCATTTTCAGGTGCCTAGGACACCAGTACTTGTCAATACTCTTCTCATTATTGGATAATAAGGTCATATTTGTGAAACCAGAAACTGTGGTCACGTGTGGACGCGAGGAAGTGTAACAAACAGCAGCAGCTGCGAGAGGCTGGAACAGCAGCAGGAATTACAAGCAACATACCAGGGAATTTCAACAAGCACTGCAACAGTAAGAATTAAAAGCACCAGCAGTCTGCAGCAGTATCAGCCAGGGAAGGAGGGTGAAGACCATCATCACAACAAGTTAACCTTAGTTACTATACATCGTATTACATAATACACAATGGTAGGTCTTTATTCTGGCTTAATATGCATGGTATCCCTTCACCCCCCCCCCTCCATGATACCAGTTATTGGTGTCTAGTCTAGTACCATGGGTTTATTTCCTTTAATTCTAAATGATGACCTCTAACCCAGTGGTAGAGCATTAGGCTCTTAGTATAAAAGACCTGTTGCCACAGGGCCTTACACATATGATGGAATCACACTGGCGTAATAGGTTTAGGACTGGTTTGTCATGGGCTGGAACTCTCCATTCATTCGGTGACCTGTTATCTCAATTCACTTAGCAGTAAACATGTACTGTACCTGGATGTTAGTCGACTGCTGTGGGCTGGGGTTTGAAGTGAACTGGAGTAGAATGACAGCTCTTAGTGTATAAACTGAAAAAAAGTAATATTTTTTTTTCACTACTACCAATTTCCCTGCTACAGACGGTGATACAAGAAGGAAGCATTCACCATCTTTCATTCAATAAATGATTGACCAAAAGTGTGCAGGCATTGTAAAATAATGTGAGAAATAAAATTCTGTTTTAGAACCTTGGGGAAGGTATAACAAACCCCAGTATGTCTGCTGCAAGCCTGCAGTACTTGGTTGTGCTATAAACTGCCAGTAACAATTCCATAAATATCACTGAACAAGTAATGAAGTTAGACTCAGAAATAATTTCCATGATCTATATATATTCTTCTTTTACCAAATCACTATGTATAATACACATAATAGGTATCAAATTAAAAAATCAACTTGGGCACAAAATGTTGGGACTACTATATGCCACAACAATCAATATGTACAAATTTACTGCTTCCTCTCCACTAACAACTCATGTGACCTACAGTTGCATTCTGGAAGAGTCTTGTCCTTCACTCTATCAATTATCACCAAGTGGGGGATGAAATCCCCCAAAATTTCACCAGTCCACTAATAATAATAATAATAATAATAATAATAATAATAATAATAATAGTAGTAGTAGTAGGTTGGTAGACAGCAACCACCCAGGGAGGTACTACCGTCCTGCCAAGTGAGTGTAAAACGAAAGCCTGTAATTGTTTTACATGATGGCAGGATTGCTGGTGTCTTTTTTTTCTGTCTCATGAACATGCAAGGTTTCAGGTACGTCTTGCTACTTCTACTTACACTTAGGTCACACTACACATACATGTACAAGCATATAGTATATACACACCCCTCTGGGTTTTCTGCTATTTTCTTTCTAGTTCTTGTTCTTGTTTATTTCCTCTTATCTCCATGGGGAAGTGGAACAGAATTCATCCTACATAAGCCATGCGTGTTGTAAGAGGCGACTAAAATGCCGGGAGCAAGGGGCTAGTAACCCCTTCTCCTGTATAAATTACTAAATGTGAAAAGAGAAACTTTTGTTTTTCTTTTTGGGCCACCCTGCCTCGGTGGGATACGGCCGGTTTGTTGAAAGAAGAAACATGCAAGATTTCAGGTATACAGTGGACCCTTGCATAACGCTATTAATCCGTTCCTGAGAGCTCAATGTTAGGCGAAATTATCGTTAGGCGAATTAATTTTCCCCATAAGAAATAATGGAAATCAAATTAATCCGTGCAAGACGCCCAAAAGTATGAAATTTTTTTTTTTTTTACCACATGAAATATTAATTTTAATACACACAAACTGAAGAAGACATGCACAGTTACATGACACTTACCTTTATTGAAGATCTGGTGATGATTGATGGGATGGGAGGAGGGTAGAGTGTTGATGGTCTTAGTGTTTAGAAGGGGAATCCCCTTCCATTAGGACTTGAGGTGTCAAGTCATTTTCCGGGGTTACTTCCCTTCTTCTTTTAATGCCACTAGGACCAGCTTCAGAGTCACTGGACTTCTGTCGCACAACATATCTGTCCATAGAGGTCTGTACCTCTCGTTCCTTTATGACTTTCCTAAAGTGTTTCACAACATTGTCAGTGTAATAGTCACCAGCACGGCTTGCAATAGCTGTCTGAGGGTGATTTTTCATCCATAAAGGTTTGCACTTCAAGCCACTTTGCACATATTTCCTTAATCTTTGAAGTAGGCAACTTCTTCAATTTCTCTCTCCCCTCCTCTGAAGCAGTTTCTTCAGGTGTGGCCTCTTGCTGTTGAAGATGATCTAGCAGCTCATCAGTGGTTAGTTCTTCATTGTCCTCCTCCACCAACTCTTCCACATCCTCCCCACTAACCTCCAACCCCAAGGACTTACCCAATGCCACAACTGATTCCTCAACTGGCATACGCTTCTCAGGGTTAGCCTCAAATCCTTCAAAATCCCTTTTGTCTACACATTCTGGCCACAGTTTCTTCCAAGCAGAGTTCAAGGTCCTCATAGTCACTCCCTCCCAAGCCTTACCTATAAGGTTTACACAATTGAGGATATTAAAGTGATCTCTCCAAAACTCTCTTAGAGTCAGTTGAGTTTCTGAAGTCACTACAAAGCACCTTTCAGAGCTTTTGTGTACAGTTTTTTGAAGTTTGCAATGACCTGCTGGTCCATGGGCTGCAGGAGAGGAGTGGTATTAGGAGGCAAAAACTTGACCTTAATGAAGCTCATGTCCCCAGAAAGTTGCTCTGCCAAGTCTGTAGGATGACCAGGGGCATTGTCTAACACCAGGAGGCACTTAAAGTCTAATTTATTTTCAATTAGGTAATTTTTCACAGTGGGGGCAAATGTATGGTGTAACCAGTCATAGAAAAAGTCCCTAGTGACCCATGCCTTACTGTTTGCCCTCCACAGCACACACAAATTAGCCTTGAGGATATTCTTTTGCCTGAATGCTCTGGGAGTTTCAGAGTGATACACCAATAAAGGCTTCACTTTGCAATCACCACTAGCATTGGCACACATTAACAGAGTAAGCCTGTCTTTCATAGGTTTATGTCCTGGGAGTGCCTTTTCCTTCTGAGTAATGTAGGTCCTGCTTGGCATTTTCTTCCAAAACAGGCCTGTTTCATCACAATTAAACACTTGTTCAGGTTTCAGTCCTTCACTGTATGTACTCCTTGAATTCATGCACATATTTTTCTGCTGCTTTGTGGTCCGAACTGGCAGCCTCACCATGCCTTATCACACTATGTATGCCACTACGATTCTTAAATCTCTCAAACCAACCTTTGCTTGCCTTAAATTTACTCACATCATCACTATTTGCAGGCATTTTTCTAATTAAATCCTCATGCAACTTCCTAGCCTTTTCACTTATGATCGCTTGAGAGATGCTATCTCCTGCTATCTGTTTTTCGTTTATCCACACCAATAACAGTCTCTCAACATCTTCTATCACTTGTGATCTCTGTTTCGAAAACAAAGTTGCACCTTTGGCAAGAACAGCTTCCTTGATTGCCGTTTTCTTGGCCACAATAGTAGAGATGATTGATTGGGGTTTACTATACAACCTGGCCAGCTCGGAGACAAGCACTCCACTTTCATACTTAGCAATGATCTCTTTCTTCATATCCATAGTAATTCTCACCCTTATTCCTGTAGGGTTGGCACTAGAAGCTTTCTTGGGGCCCATGGTCACTTATTTTGCAGGTGAAATCACTAAAAACGCTGTAATAATACGAAATGTTCCGATTGTATGCTTGGATGTGACCGCGGAGGCTGGCTTGTAAACAATGCCACCGGCGGAACAAGTGAGGCTGGCTCAGGCCGCACATGGATGCGTCTCGGACGAATAGCGTTGAGCGAGTTTTTTAGCGCTAGGGGAGGCAAAATTTTTGCGTTAAAATGTATCGCTAGGCGGATTTAACGTTATGTGATGCCAACGTTAGGCGAGTGTCCACTGTACGTATCTTGCTACTTCTACTTACACTTAGGTCACATTACACATACATGTACAAGCATATACATGTATATACAGTGGACCCCCGCATAGCGAACGCCTTGCATAGCGAACAATCCGCATAGCGAACGCTTTGTTCGCCAAAATTTTGCCCCGCATAGTGGACAAAAACCCGCTCAGCGACCTTCGTCCGAGACGCGTCCATTGTTTACCAGCCAGCCTCCGCGGTAACATTCAAGCATACACTCGGAATATTTCGTATTATTACAGTGTTTTCGGTGCTGTTTCTGGAAAATAAGTGACCATGGGCCCCAAGAAAGCTTCTAGTGCCAACCCTGTGGTAAAAAGGGTGAGAATTAGTATGGAAATTAAGAAAGATTTTGAAGGGTTTGGGCTAACCCTGAGAAGCCTATGCCAGTTGTGGAATCCATTGTGCCTACTTCAAAAATTAAGGAAATGTGTGCACAGTGGGTTGAACTGCAAACCTTTATGGATGAAAATCACCCTGACACAGCTGTTGCAAGCCGTGCTGGTGACTATTTCAATGACAATGTTATGGCCCATTTTAGACAAATCGTAAAGGAACGGGAGGTACAGAGCTCTATGGACAGATTTGTTGTGCGACAGAGGTCCAGTGACTCTGAAGCTGGTCCTAGTGGCATTAAAAGAAGAAGGGAAGTAACCCCAGAAAAGGACTTGCTACCTCAAGTCCTAATGGAAGGGGATTCCCCTTCTAAACACTAACACTCTCTCTCCCCCCCTCCCATCCCATCAATCATCACCAGATCTTCAATAAAAGTAAGTGTCATGTAATTGTGCATGCCTTTTTCAGTTTGTGTGTACTAAAATTAACATTTTTTTGTGGTAAAAAAAATTTTTTTTCATACTTTTGGGTGTCTTGCACGGATTAATTTTATTTCCATTATTTCTTATGGGGAAAATTAATTCGCATAGCGAACATTTCGCATAACGACCAGCCCTCTTGCACGGATTAAGTTCGCTATGCGGGGGTCCACTGTATATATACACCCCTCTGAGTTTTCTTCTATTTTCTTTCTAGTTTTTGTTCTTGTTCATTTCCTATCTCCATGGGGAAGAGGAACAGAATTCATCCTCCGTAAGCCATGCGTGTTGTATGAGGCGACTAAAATGCCAGGAGCAAGGGGCTAGCAACTCCTTCTCCTGTATATATTACTAAATGTAAAAGGAGAAACTTTCGTTTTTCCTTTTGGGCCACCCTGCCTCGGTGGGATACGGCAGGTGTGTTGAAAGAAAGAATAATAAACCATACCCCCGGCCGGGATTGAACCCTTCAGGTCTCCTAGACACCTCTTCCAATCAGATTTCTACCCTCAAGCCACTCTTATATAAAACTTCAGGAGCTGTCACTGGTTTTTAGCAAGCTACTCTGGATATTTTCATCACTATCTGCTCTCTGGACATTAGCCATAGCACACAAGAGAAATATTAGTGATGTTGGAGATATTAAGTAGAAAATTAAACATAAATTTGTGACTGTTGAAAAAAATAAAAATGTTAGATATGCCTAGACATGTGTGATGGAAACTACCCATGAGTTTTGCATGAATGAGTCAATCATTTATACAATTAGAAATGATGCTCATTAGGTGTTACAGGTTGTCACCTGCTCAAAAATGTCAAAGAAGCAACTGTAAGTACATAAGATGGATTATGTTGTTCCAACAGTAAAGAAGTGAATAGGATCACTGACTTAAGTGCTTAACGTTTGTCGTGCCATACGTGCAAAGGTTTGCTAATGATGTAACACTTCCACCATGCACAGAGTATTGCATCATTCAATGCAGCTTAACATTTTTACAGATATTTCTAGTTAACACTGGTATACTGCATTATGGCAGGTCATTTCTTTCAACAGACTGTCCTATCATATCATAAACTGTCCATGAATCACTGGTGGCCACAATGATTAATATTCTATCAAGTTCATATTTGCATACATAACAGATGACCGTTAAAAACTTATAACAATTTGTACCCAGATTTACCAAGTCATTTGGTTTTAGGCTAATTGAATTTAAATATAAATTTTAAAATAAGGCACTATTTGTCAATACAGTTAGAATTATGACAAGGTTTCTGAGATCTGATTTGCACTTTTTAATTGTTGAAATGTACATTTATAATCTTGTGTCACACATCTGTTTATGTCTGCTACAATGAATTTTGCCAGATTCTGAACTGTAGCTCAAAACCAGACACAAATAACAAAAAGATAGTATTTCAAAACAATTTAAATATTACAATAACTTTTACAAAATTTAGAAGGACCCTTCAAATATAATTATTTTGTCTTTTTTAACAAAGAGTGGTAATTCAACTCATTCATTTCCTGTGCAGGTGCAGGGGAAAGCATGGATATCAATTATTTGTGCAATGTTTCTTCTTTGCTGCTCATGGGAATCCACCACTGCCAAAGAGTTAGAACAGAAGCAGCCATGGTTAACACCGGTAATGGATCAAACTATGGAAGAAAGTGCAGTGGTAAACACGATGAATGGCCGGGATATTAGTGAAGAGAACACTGCTGATGAGATGGGTGGCAATGGAGTCACATGTGACAATGACATGGATGATAAGTCAGGACGCTATAAGAGGGTGTTTCTCAGTCGAGGATGGGGTCCAGGTGGTTATGAAGCACCCTCACCACCTTCACAGAGGTTTGTGCGCCGCCCGCCTGCATTTCAGGCACCACGCACCAAGATCCAAGAGAATATATTAACACCGGCAATAGGTATGGCTAAGTTCCATGTTTTGCCTTTGGTTTACATTTAAATCTTTGCATAATTGTCTAAAAAGTACACAAGAAAATAAATAATATTCCTATAAAATCAGAAGCCTTCTAATGTATATTTATTATACCTATGTTTTTGCTAGTCATGAAGAGCTATTCTCACGGCAACAATATTAAAAGGCATATTCACTTTTTGAAGATGTGCTAGTCAAAATGAGAGACTGGAAAGACAAATGGAAGAGCAGGGTTAATATATGGCTGGTAGTTGTGGTTTGTTCATCAGGAAACAGGAAAGTGTCTTCTGATGCAAGTCTTTGTCAGATAATGACCCATACAACAATTAAGAAACTGCTGTCGTACTGGTGTGCCAGTGTTCAGCATTAATAATTAAACAACCACTGGTTTCCTAGTGCTATATATCCATGGTTAAACATCCAATGGCATACTGGAGATAGGTTTTTGCCCCCATTTAAAAATTAAAGGGCCACATTTATATCTAGGACTATAGGCCTTCTTTATTAATGGAAGACCCAATAATCTGCAATTTCAGAACTGCTAATGGTATTTCTTATAGTCAAAAGCAGAATAGTTCCTCTTTTCTGTATTAATAAAAAAATACATTTCTTCCAAATGTAGAGGATCCAAAATCAGAGCTAAAGCATATGCTGAAGATTGCTACATTTGAACCTGTTATGATATGAACAATGCAACTTTCAATTCCCAACACAATAAGAACCCTAAATAAAAACAGTATACACCTCCTCTGATACAACTCTGAGGAGCTTCAAGAGTCTGACCACTCCCAGAGCCCGGCCATGGGCCAGGCTCGTCCGGTGCTTGCCTGATCAACCAGGCTGTTGCTGCTGGAGGTCCGCTGCCCCACATATCCATCATAGCCTGGGTGATCTGACACCTGGTGAAGATACTTGTCCAGTTTCCTCTTGAAGGCTCCTACACTTGACCCAGCCGTGTTTCTGATACCTTCTGGTAAGATGTTGAATAGTCTGAGACCCCGGATGTTGATACAGTGTTCCCTTATTGTCCCCACCGCACCCCTGCTCCTCACTGGGTTTATTTTACACTTCCTCCCATATCTCTCACTCCAGTACAGTGGAACCTTGGTTTTCCTCATTAATTCGTTCTAGAAAGTCTGACAAAAACTGAATTCAACGAAAACTGAAGCAATATTTCCTGTAAGAAATAATATAAATCCAATTAATCCGTTCCAGACACCCAAAAGTATTAACAAAAAATACATTTTATAGAGAATAACTATAGTTTTACATACAGAAAACAATGAGAAATAATTTTTTTTGTTTTTTTTTTTATCACACTGGCCGATTCCCACCAAGGCAGGGTGGCCCGAAAAAGAAAAACTTTCACCATCATTCACTCCATCACTGTCTTAACAGAAGGGTGCTTTACACTACAGTTTTTAAACTGCAACATTAACACCCCTCCTTCAGAGTGCAGGCACTGTACTTCCCATCTCCAGGACTCAAGTCCAGCCTGCCGGTTTCCCTGAATCCCTTCATAAATGTTACTTTGCTCACACTCCAACAGCACGTCAAGTATTAAAAACCATTTGTCTCCATTCACTCCTATCAAACACGCTCACGCACGCCTGCTGGAAGTCCAAGCCCCTCGCACACAAAACCTCCTTTACCCCCTCCCTCCAACCTTTCCTAGGCCGACCCCTACCCCGCCTTCCTTCCACTACAGACTGATACACTCTTGAAGTCATTCTGTTTCTCTCCATTCTCTCTACATGTCCGAACCACCTCAACAACCCTTCCTCAGCCCTCTGGACAACAGTTTTGGTAATCCCGCACCTCCTCCTAACTTCCAAACTACGAATTCTCTGCATTATATTCACACCACACATTGCCCTCAGACATGACATCTCCACTGCCTCCAGCCTTCTCCTCGCTGCAACATTCATCACCCACGCTTCACACCCATATAAGAGCGTTGGTAAAACTATACTCTCATACATTCCCCTCTTTGCCTCCAAGGACAAAGTTCTTTGTCTCCACAGACTCCTAAGTGCACCACTCACTCTTTTTTCCCTCATCAATTCTATGATTCACCTCATCTTTCATAGACCCATCCACTGACACGTCCACTCCCAAATATCTGAATACGTTCACCTCCTCCATACTCTCTCCCTCCAATCTGATATTCAATCTTTCATCACCTAATCTTTTTTGTTATCCTCATAACCTTACTCTTTCCTGTATTCACCTTTAATTTTCTTCTTTTGCACACCCTACCAAATTCATCCACCAATCTCTGCAACTTCTCTTCAGAATCTCCCAAGAGCACAGTGTCATCAGCAAAGAGCAGCTGTGACAACTCCCACTTTGTGTGTGATTCTTTATCTTTTAACTCCACGCCTCTTGCCAAGACTCTCGCATTTACTTCTTTTACAACCCCATCTATAAATATATTAAACAACCACGGTGACATCACACATCCTTGTCTAAGGCCTACTTTTACTGGGAAAAAATTTCCCTCTTTCCTACATACTCTAACTTGAGCCTCACTATCCTCGTAAAAACTCTTCACTGCTTTCAGTAACCTACCTACTACACCATACACTTGCAACATCTGCCACATTGCCCCCCTATCCACCCTGTCATATGCCTTTTCCAAATCCATAAATGCCACAAAGACCTCTTAGCTTTATCTAAATACTGTTCACTTATATGTTTCACTGTAAAACACCTGGTCCACACACCCCCTACCTTTCCTAAAGCCTCCTTGTTCATCTGCTATCCTATTTCTACGTCTTACTCTTAATTCTTTCAATTATAACTCTAACCATACACTTTACCAGGTATACTCAACAGACTTATCCCCCTATAATTTTTGCACTCTCTTTTATCCCCTTTGCCTTTATACAAAGGAACTATGCATGCTCTCTGCCAATCCCTAGTACCTTACCCTCTTCCATACATTTATTAAATAATTGCACCAACCACTCCAAAACTATATCCCCACCTGCTTTTAACATTTCTATCTTTATCCCATCAATCCCGGCTGCCTTACCCCCTTTCATTTTACCTACTGCCTCACGAACTTCCCCCACACTCACAACTGGCTCTTCCTCACTCCTACAAGATGTTATTCCTCCTTGCCCTATACACGAAATCACAGCTTCCCTATCTTCATCAACATTTAACAATTCCTCAAAATATTCCCTCCATCTTCCCAATACCTCTAACTCTCCATTTAATAACTCTCCTCTCCTATTTTTAACTGACAAATCCATTTGTTCTCTAGGCTTTCTTAACTTGTTAATCTCACTCCAAAACTTTTTCTTATTTTTCAACAAAATTTGTTGATAACATCTCACCCACTCTCTCATTTGCTCTCTTTTTACATTGCTTCAACCACTCTCTTAACCTCTCTCTTTTTCTCCATATACTCTTCCCTCCTTGCATCACTTCTATTTTGTAAAAACTTCTCATATGCTAACTTTTTTTCCCTTACTACTCTCTTTACATCATCATTCCACCAATCGCTCCTCTTCCCTCCTGCACCCACTTTCCTGTAACCACAAACTTCTGCTGAACACTCTAACACTACATTTTTAAACCTACCCCATACCTCTTCGACCCCATTGCCTATGCTCTCATTAGCCCATCTATCCTCCAATAGCTGTTTATATCTTTCCCTAACTGCCTCCTCTTTTAGTTTATAAACCTTCACCTCTCTCTTCCCTGATGCTTCTATTCTCCTTGTATCCCATCTACCTTTTACTCTCAGTGTAGATACAACTAGAAAGTGATCTGATATATCTGTGGCCCCTCTATAAACATGTACATCCGAAGCCCTACTCAACAGTCTTTTATCTACCAATACATAATCCAACAAACTACTGTCATTTTGCCCTACATCATATCTTGTATACTTATTTATCCTCTTTTTCTTAAAATATGTATTACCTATAACTAAACCCCTTTCTATACAAAGTTCAATCAAAGGGCTCCCATTATCATTTACACCTGGCACCCCAAACTTACCTACCACACCCTCTCTAAAAGTTTCTCCTACTTTAGCATTCAGGTCCCTACCACAATTACTCTCTCACTTGGTTCAAAGGCTCCTATACATTCACTTAACATCTCCCAAAATCTCTCTCTCCTCCTCTGCATTCCTCTCTTCTCCAGGTGCATACACGCTTATTATGACCCACTTCTCGCATCCAACCTTTACTTTAATCCACATAATTCTTGAATTTACACATTCATATTCTCTTTCTCCTTCCATAACTGATCATTTAACATTACTGCTACCCCTTCCTTTGCTCTAACTCTCTCAGATACTCCAGATTTAATCTCATTTATTTCCCCCCACTGAAACTCTCCTACCCCCTTCAGCTTTGTTTCGCTTAGGGCCAGGACATCCAACTTCTTTTCATTCATAACATCAGCAATCATCTGTTTCTTGTCATCCGCACTGCATCCACGCACATTAAGCATCCCAGTTTTTATAAAGTTTTTCTTCTTCTCTTTTTTAGTAAATGTCTACAGGAGAAGGGGTTACTAGCCCATTGCTCCCGGCATTTTAGTCGCCTCATACGACACGCATGGCTTACGGAGGAAAGATTCTTTTCCACTTCCCCATGGACAATAGAAGAAATAAAGAAGAACAAGAGCTATTTAGAAAAAGGAGAAAAACCTAGATGTATGTATATATATATATGCATGTGCGTGTCTGTGAAGTGTGACCAAAGTGTAAGTAGGAGTAGCAAGATATCCCTGTTATCTAGCGTGTTTATGAGACAGAAAAAGAAACCAGCAATCCTACCATCATGCAAAACAGTTACAGGTTTTTGTTTCACAGTCATCTGAGAAATAAATATAAAGAACTAATGAAATAGATAATGAACATTTAACATCACTTTTATCTTTATTGAAGACTCTTGTTGACATATGGAAGATGGTGAGAAGGGGAGAGGAAGGAGAGGTTATCTCTACCACCATCACTACCAC